CTGACAATTTGATATAAATCTAATTCACAAAAGTTTTTCCTGTTGGCCGCATGTTAACTTTGATTTAAACTTATGTTCTTAACTCGCAGCTAAGCGAAGCATAGTAACATGTTTCTGCGTAGACTTCAACATGTAAATGTGCCACCCGCCTACTCACTCACTGACTCACTCAAGTGTAGACATTGTTGGGAATAAGAAACTTTAATCTCGTTTTTTATGATCCAAACAGAACTTTTAGTTTTACTAATCACGTGGGGAAACTCGAAAAATGTTTCCCCTCAGTCTCACTTAAGTTTCACTTTTCTTAGTTTTTTTGCCGTCAAAACGTATATGTAATGAAACCCCTTGGGATAAAGCATCCTAATTTCTTTTTCATGAATAATGTAAGACATTTAACCGCTGAGGTATTTTTTAGCTTTTCTTGAGAACTATTCAACAATTTCTATGATGTGGTACAAGCCGGACACAGACTTGACCTCTCCCTTTTTTCGAACTAGAAGTTCCTTTGCACCATTTTATTGAAAAAATATTATTTACTGTGTTATGAACGAGCGAGAGAGAGATGATCGCAGATGTAAATCAGTGATGACCATGTATTGAATACTGACTGAAAGTAGTATTCAATGAGTTTTAATTGCTACCAGTCTTAGCCCAACAAGAAAGATACATCTCAGTACTACAGCGTTCTGGAAACTTTCCTGACATTCTGCAATATGGCAACATTTGAAAAGATTGTTCTAGCGGTTTGTTACCAAGTAATGAGTTTACTTATCACACTAATGTCCCTGAGAACGAACCTTTTTGTAGTTGATGAGGATCATTGGTAAGATGTTAAGCCATAAAGCTTCAACGAAGTCGCTTTGAAACAAATAAATTTCACCTTGGCTGCGACTTTTGCATAACATTACATGACTTGATAGGCACAGGACAAATATTAACAAAACAGCATTCATTTCAGGCTTTGCCAGTAAAACATTGCTGCAACATTTGCTGCAACTGTATAAGGCTGCAGTCTTGCCCTATTTGACATACTGCAGTACAATATGGCATTTTTGTAGGGGAAGTGATGCAAAAAAAGTGGAGCGTGTCCAGGAGAGGGGTCTTAGGGCAGTTTTCTGTGACTGGAATACTAACTATAAGCAGTTGCTAGAATGGGCTAAATTGCCCACCTTAATGAACCGTAGATTGCAAGATATTGCGACCATCATGTATAAAGTAAAATTTAAGCTAGCACCAAGTTATATACAAGATTTATTTTCAACAAATCATATAGTGTATAACTTAAGAGTTAAAGAATTTGCTATTCCAAGATTTAACTCTATTCATTATGGCAAGCATTCCCTTAGGTATTTAGGACCTGTGCTATGGGCTAAGCTACCTTCCCGTATTAGGACTTTGCATTCACTAGCGGGTTTTAAGAGGGCAGTCAGAGGATTGGATTTGGAAATGCTTATGGGTGATGGTGGCTGTGTGGACTGCTTGGTTTGCAGCGCATGATTCTTAGATATGTTTTTTTTGTTTTTTTGTTTTTTTTTGTTAGACTCGGATTTTCTCCCCCCGTCTTTTATCGTCGGGGAATCAAGGTGCCCTGGCCTAATTCTGCTGACCGCAAATTTTCAGTCTCATTTAATTATAAACATAATTTAATTAATTATTTATATTGCGAATGGATGAATTACAATCGTGAGTGTGTGGGTAGAGAGAGTGAGCGGGTTTTAGAGAGAGATTTACTTATTTTACATGTAAATTATTCTTATATTAATATTTAGCTATTTATTGGAGAGTAGTAGAGAGTTTAGAGATAGAATCTGAACATATCTTACATGTAAATTATTCGAATATCAATATTTTAGCTATTTACTATTTTATTTAAACTATTTTGTTGTGTCCTTACTTAGTGGTTTCATTACTGCTATTTTTTTATAATTGACACATGAATAAAGTTATTATTTATTATTATTATTATTAAACGTTATTAATGCAAAGATACTCAAAATAACAATCGACTATCAGTAATTCATTTGTAGAAGATAGAAAGCTGTGTACCCCTGTATTAAACACCTCTACTCGTACTTAGCAAGTTGTTGATTTCGTAGTGGATGTTTTTGAAAGTAAAAAGACAAAAACAATGAAATACAATAGGGACTTTCCCTACATTCCAAAACATCCGCAGTCGAGCAACAATTACCGTTACCGTTTTGTTATTCAGATGAGAGCGCAAACGTTCATAACATGCCAGAGGTATATTTTTAGATGTTTAAACCATTCTTTACGATTCTTTCTTTTTAAACACCTGAAATCGTTTGTTTGTAAACCTACAGCTGACAATTCACAAAAGTTTTTCCTGATGGCCGGCATGTTAACTTTGATTTTAAACTTATGTTCTTAACTCGCAGTTAGGCGAAGCACAGTAACATGTTTCTGGGTAGACTCCAACGTGTAAATGTGCCACCCGCCTACTCACTCACTGACTCACTCAGGTGTAGACATTGTTGGGAATAAGAAACTTTGATCTCGTTTTTTTATGATCCAAACAGAACTTTCGGTTTCCCTAATCACGTGAGATTTTTCCCCCTAAGTCCCTTATTTCTCCATCGGCAACTTGTTAATATTTTCAGCGATTGCGGTGTGCTTTTGTTGCGTAGCTTGGCATTTGGCAAAGATAATGTTATTGGAAAAGAAAGCTCCTCGTGACTTTGTATTCCACTTTCATAACAAAAGAAACCCAAACAAAACAATGTAAATTCAGCCGCATGCAAATCAATGATTTTTCATCGCGAGTATTCAAAGAAGCAAGCAAGGAATGTTATCAGTATAATATCTAGTTTCCCTTTTCTTAGTTTTTCGTTTTTTCTTTTATTTCGACCTTCAAAACGTTTATGTAATGAGACTCCTTAGGATCAAGCATCCTAATTTCTTGTTCATAAATAATACCAAAATCGTTGTTTGTATTTTGACTCACCTTACGAGCTCGTCAAAATACGACACAACTCGTAATAATACTCAGCGACACTAAGCACCAAAACCTCCAATAAGTTATTTATTATCCAACTGTTTTTTTCTGCTGAGTCTTTCAGCTCATTCCTCCTAAGGCGGGAAAAGCAAAGCAGAGAGAGAAGTGTATTGTGCGCAGCCGACTGGTTAGCCAGGTTTTTTTTTCAGTACAAAGTAACCAACGGTCCAAATACACGTATAATATCGTAGTTTGTTTATACTCTGTTCGCGCGTCACTTACTCTCTACTTTGTGCAGTTGGATAATAAACCTCAGTACTACAGTGTTCTGGAAACTTTCCGGACATTCTGCAATATGGCAACATTTGAAAAGATTGTTCTGGCAGTTTATTACCAAGAAATGAGCTTACTTATCATGCCAGTGTCGCTAAAGTCAAACCTTTTCATAGTTCATGAGGATGATTGGTAAGATGTGAAGCCATAACGGTTTAACGAAGTCGCTTTGAAACAAATAAATTTCACTTTGGCTGCGATTTTTGAATGACATTACATGACTTGATAGGCACAGGACAAATATTAACAAAACAGCATTCATTTTAGGCTTTGCCATCAAAACGTTCCCCATGCAAAGTTACTCAAAATAACAGTAGACCATTACTAATTCATTTGTAGACGATAGAAAGCTGTATACTCCTGTATTTAACATGTCTACTCGTACTCACCAAGTTGTTGACTTCGTAGTGGATGCTTTTAAAAGTGAAAGGACAAAAACAATGAAACACAGTCGGGACTTTCCCTACATTCCAAAACATCCGCAGTTGAACACTGAACAATTACCGCGATTTAAATACATGACTTTCATATATTCACAGTCGTTTAATTACCGTTACTGTTTTGTTATTCAGATGAGAACACAAACGTTCATAACATCCTGAGGGTACATTTTTTAGATGTTAAAACCATTCTTCACGATTCTTTCTTTTTAAACACCTGAAATCGTTTGTTAGTAAACCTTTAACTGACAGTTTGATATAAATCTAATTCACAAAAGTTTGCGTGATGGCCGGCATGTTAACTTTGCCTTTGAATGATCAATTTCCTTTCGTTCCTTACAGAGAATTATAGCATCTTTCTACGTGAGCACGAGATATTGACCTCTCTTCTATCAGTTTCCCAAATTATACAATGCTTAACAATCTTAGCTGATGAGGTTGAAATATACCGTATGAAGCCATAAAGGTTTGAAGAAAGCAATTAACTGGTGGAGATATGAAGCATCCGTTCAACGGAAAAGTACGCTAAAACTATATATGCAATAACAGTAAATTTAAGAAAGTTTCAGTTTTTCTAAGAAAATTAAAACATCTCTCTTCGTGAGCGCGCAGCGTCACGACTTATCTTCTTATGCCAGACTCTGGCGCTTTAACAGACAACAAAACAGATTACGGCCTTAAGAAAATTATATACCGTGGAACCCGCCGCTGGTGTCCAAAGATTTAAGTGAAGGGTATCTCGACCATGAAACGCTTGTGTACAAGAAGATAACGGAAATTCAATTCGAATCTACCGCGATCTCTGAATCGTTCGTTGAACCTTCTTAAAACCAGTCAAGTTAATAGCTAATGCAGATCATAGCCACTAGAAAACCACGTAATGAAGCATCACGGATTTCCTATGATATCAGCGTGGGACAGTCCACAACATAAATAGAGGTCTGAATATCAATTTCTCAAATTGAACGATACTCAATAACCTTAGTTAATGAGGGTAGATTGTACGGTATAAAGCCACAGAGATTTGAAATAGTCGCCTTAGAAAGGATCACAGTGGTGGCGATTCAATCGTGTCATCAACCGCTTTAATAAAGGGCTGACGCTCGAAACGTGACATAACTATATATTGCAAACATGCCACAGATCATAGCAGGTACTTTTTTCAATTTTTTTCCCTGGAATGACCTTTAAACTTAACGCTTGTTTATTCTATTTTTATTTTATCATTTTTTAGTTACTTGGGTGGTGGAAGGTTCTATCTAGAGGCTGTCGTGATGGCTAACCCATCTATACCAGCATACAGGTACACAAAGAGAACTTCAAGAGGCAGATTTCTTTACGTGTAACAAATTTCCTTGCCTTGCCTTGCCTAACATGTAACTTCATATTGACTCAATTGGTTGCAGTGCTCAACAGTTAGAGAAGCAGCACAGATTCAGCCGTCATTGAAGCCTGATTTTTTGTGACCACTTTCTTGTAATTCTGTAAATAAAAATTCATCACTTTTTCGATTACAAAACTGTTTGTCTCTAGTAAAAGCATACTGTCTGTGTGGACAGAGTGCGATTCCCGTCTGTTCCAGAGTTTTCCATATGCCCTCACTAAGACAGACCCCCTTCCGCCTTGTACGCTTTGGATTGTTAGATATTGCATACCTTACTGGGCCTTTGAGACAAACAACTTTGAACTAAAATTCTCCTGTACTTTCGCTTTCATCGCAGATACGATTCCTCTAGCAAAGTGTTTTCCAGGGAATATTACGATATTGATGCCATGTTTCAAGCGAGGAAAGACGCCATAACTACAGCGTCAAGAGCTAAGAAATTTAGACTCATTCTAAGTACGTTAGGGAGGCAAGGAAGTTCAAAGGTGCTAGTGGTATTGTATACAGTTAAAATGTGAAAACTTTATAGGTAAATATACTTTTTGAACTGGTTATTATTCATATTATCATCTTTTCCAAAGAGCTCATAAAGCAGATTTCATTGATCCTTTCGTCTTTCACTTTTATCTGCAGAATTTAGGACAAAGATTCAGTACGGCAGGCCTGGAATATGTATTTGTGCTCATGTCTGAAATATTTCCGGGTAAACTTGGATTGTTCGAGGACGTGGAAACGTAAGTTGGCGATTTTCTTGTTAAGGTGTGAAAACTGCTTTCCGTCGATAAGATAAGATAAGAACCGTCACAGGAGATGAGAAGTAATTATACTAGAAAAATCTTGCCTTAATTTGGCCATACAAGTCATTTAAATAATGAAAAAGTTGTTTATTGATTAACTTGTCAAATACAGCGATACACTAAAATAAATGGAATGTGCTGATGTTCTTAAATATAAATGTTTAAAATATGAACCTTTCCTTTACAGGTCAATACATGCAAAACCTACATAATTTATATATTTCTCAACATTCGATAATTTAGAATGACTAATTTTTAAATGTTTTTCGGCCAAAATTTCGTTTTTTACAAATTGCTGGTGGATTTTTGTACATTATGAACCTTAGGTAACCATTCAAAATTGAATTTGAAACGATGAGTCATTTGAAATGTGATTTTAAAAGATGCAGGTTGTTCTAATGGATTGATAGTTAATACTCAACTTACTCTGCATTTGTGCAAGTTGGTGCTAGAGTTTCAGGAATTAAGTGATAGTGACAATTGACAGTGTTATTTAATTATTAGTTTACATTCATATTTGCAAATTTGCAAAGGAACAAAAATAGTAATATCCATTTTGTTTGCATTTGAATGTTGACCAGCATTCAGCTACAAAAGTTACCAAATAAGATTTGTCTTTCTCGCAAAATTGAACAGTCCGCTAATTCTAGAAAGCAGTGATTATCCATGTAATCACAAAACAAACATTCTGAAGCACATCAAGGCATGATTCTTGTTTATCTCTCCAACTCCAATGAGTGACCAAGACAGAATTTCTCCCTACAATATCAATACAATATCAAGCAGACAAGTGATGAGAATAAAGAAAAATATCAGTTAGGGGATTATAAGCTGATTCAATACCAAATTATCCAAACTAACATCACAAGAACTCTATGGGAGAATTATTTATGAGATCTTGGGAGCTAAAGGATTAAAGTGACAAGGAATGCACTGGGTGAATTGTTTCAATAAAAATGATGATTGGTTGGGTAATCAATCTAATGCCGTATAATTGATATTTTGGTTTCTTTAATCCTTTACACCCTAACATCAGTATGTATATTCTCCATACTGTTCCCTTGATACAAGTAGATGTCCTAAGATGCTGATAAGGAGAATTTGTTTTTTGATCAAGAGCTTACATGTATTAATGGTTGGTGATCATTTCCTTTAGTCTCATGACCATAACCCTTTAACTCCCAGAGTGACCAGGACAGAATTTCTCCTTACAATTTCAATACAATATCAAGCAGACAAGTGACAAGAATAAAGAAAAAATTAATATCAATTAGGGGATTTAATAGGTTGATCCAATACCAAATTCTCCAAACTAACATCAAGAGAAAGAAATGTATGACAGACAGTAACTAGAATTACTAATGAGATCTTAGGAGTTAAAGGTTTAATGTGTGATTTATGGATGACAGTGTAAAGAGAAATTAGATGCCAGTCACTCTTTGGGGTCAAAGGGTTAATTAGCACTGAACTTGTATTCTTGGCTGCTATTTAAAAAATTGTGTATCACATTTTGTGTTAACACTAGTGTTTCTGTCAATGTTTTTCAATCATGTAAATTGTACATACTCAAACCTTTACCTTAATACAAATTTTTAATGTAATTTTTGCACTCATTTGATAGGTCTCAACTACATCCTTTTTCAGATTGAACAACTATTTAAATTTTTAATTCAAAACAACTCTTCGTGACTTGTGTGTGTCAAGAAAATTGACAGAAACTTTGTTGTGTGACCACAGGCGTCCCAAGCTCATGTCTTCAGAAAAAAGCAAACAGTTAATTCATGAAAGTGTCACACATTGTGTGACTTGGTGTGAAGTTATGAGAGGAACCATTGAGAATTTGAACATGTTATAAGGAATTGTATGGGAAATGAAATATGGTTGATTTACAAAGATAAATAATTTGAACTATGAACATTTAACACAAAATCAATAGAACTTACTGACATCTTGTGTGTCTGGCAATCTGTGCCATTTTAAGCATGCTTTACTATCACTGTTATTCCTGTTATACCTTTGACTGAGAAAAATGCCGATTGGGAGGATTTTCAGGGTGTAAACCGCCTCTGCATGGACAACAGTTAAAATCCTAGCGTGCAGCCTTGATTTCATCTTATAGATGGATGAAATTTTGTTCCCCATACTATTCCTTATAACATGTTCAAATTCTCAATGGTTCCTCTTGTAACTTAACACCGAGTCACACAATATGTGATACTTTCATTAATTAATTGTTTGCTTTTTCTCAAGACATGAGCTTGGGATGCCTGTGGTGTGACTAATTTGTTATTTCATTCAAGTGACAGCCAGTTTTGAGAGTAATATTTGATTAACAAGATAACATTTTATTTAAAAAAAAAACATGGGTTGTCATGACTGTCACAATTTATTAATGGTTCTGAAATTGAATGCATTGTTGACTTATCAACTGATCTCAGTGTTGTGCAGCTCCTTCCCTGCCCTTTTTTGGTCATGTTTAGGCTGTATCAGGTTGCAAATTTATGTAAAGTTATGCTAGTAACATAACATGCAGCATTTGATAGATTTTATTTATAATATTTATGTAACTGTTGGATTTTAGGATCATCACAATACTCACACAGAACTTACTCATAAAAGTATAAAGAAGACAAAAGATCAAGCTATCTTCAGTTACATGGATATATGAAGCTCAGTACATGATGGTATGGAAGAGTATACTAGGAAGAGAATGAAACAGAATCTTACCTGTTTATTCATCTTTCGCATCATTTTCATCAGACGTTGTTGAAACTTTTTCAATATTTGATGTGGCAAACTGTGGGAAAAGAAATCATTAACAGAAGGAGTGCATCAGAAGGAGTAAATGATCTTTAAAGTGCACATTAAAATTTCACACACCTGCATGATTATTGCTCTTGTGAGTAAATGTAAAGTTTTGTTTGTGTTTTGACTGTCAATGGTAATTGCTTTTCTTGAATGTCTAATTATAGTTGTGATTAATTTAAACTGTAAACTACATGAACTGAAACGTTACCTATGAATTGCACACCTCCAACATGTGGTCAACAAAGCCTTTCTTTTGTTGTGAGTTCTGTGAAATATAGGAGATAATTTGTCACTAAAATGATGTGATCCCCCAAGGTTAAATACTTGTAGTTGACAAGATCTACAGAGGAAACTTGAATTTTGTTCACCCTTTAACTCCCATGATCCAGTGACCAAGACACAGTTTCTCCTTACAATATCAATGCAATACCAAGCAGACAAGTAATGAGAATAAAGACAAATATTGATCAGGGGATTATTAGTTGATCCAATACCAAATTCTCCAAACTAACATCACAAGAACTGTATGGCAGACAGTAAGGAGAATTTCTAATGAGATCTTGGGAGTTCAAGGGTTAAGATCTGTACCACAGGTTGTGAAATGAGTCGGGCATTAAATCTCATCCATTGGAACATTTTGATTTGATGTATTTGATTGACTATCAATACAGGTATAGTGTTACAGGTGTGGTGAAGTTCTAATGTTTAGATAAATGCTTAAAATGATGCTGATAAGGAAGCAATATGCATTGTATTTTCTATTTGAAAATTATTTGAAAAGTGTTACCATTATTTAGCTTTAATGGTAATGTTCAATTCTAGGAATCAATTAGTAAAATTCCACATACTATGACTGCTGATTGGCACAACAGATTACAATGGAATTGAGTTGGATGTTGATGGTCGTTAAATTTTGAATCATTACTATTAATGATTCCTTAATTTTCCTCAAATTCATTTAGAAAGGAATTGAAATAATTTGACAAGTTATATGTATTTTGTTAGCTGATTATTGATAGACAAGAACAAGATAGTTGAAGTAGAAGTTGAAGGAAAGATTACAAAATATGGGGTAATGAATGAACAAGATATATTTTTAAAAGTTTTTTTTAACAGAATTGCTTAGTCAGTGATAGTATAATGGCTAGTACAATGTCAACACTAGTGAGTCCTGACATGTTTTTTGTGATTTTGATGCAGTTAGTCTAATTTATATTATGTAGAAGAAATATTTAAAAGAGAATTTACTTACCTTCTCTCAAGATTCTATGCTGTCTGCGGCATATGGCATCTAAAATGTTTGAACAGAAATATTTTCACAAACAGTTGATATGGTGAGTATTAAGAAGATAAATCACTAATGGACGAATGGATGTTCTGTGTTATGTGCAAGTAAAGAACTATGAATTAAAATGTATGCTCATTCTGTTAGGATTGATAAGATTTGATCACATTTCATAGGCTGGGTATGGTACATAAATATGTATCAGTCAATTAAGAGCTTCAACATCCCCCTATCACAGCAACCCCCTCAGGCATTTGAAGTTTTGAGGATTAGTTTGTTCCTGGGGCCAAAGTATTGTTCAAATTCCCAACTCAAAGTGTTTGATTTAAAAGTCAATTTTTGTAAAAGGCAAAATCAGTGATTATGACATTCTAGTCATTGACATAATGCTAGGCCAGGAGCATTTTGTGCCAAAATATCGATGTCAACACGTCACACAGTTGCTTTATTTTAAAAATAATACAAGCATTAAAGATTTAAGTTATTGATTCATGATAAAAAAAAAAAACAATTGATAGTTAGTGCTATTTTTCTGTTTTGCTGTACCAGTGATTTATAGTAAGCATTTTTAATTGTTTGATGCAACAACACATGTGATTAGGGTTCATGAGAATGACAAGTAAATTTATTAACAAAATAATACAATAATTATTTGTGCTAGCAATAATTAGTGGGTTTTAGCACTTGTGGTTCACATTTTAGGCATAATTAAACAACTTTCCATCTTGACTAATGTTTTAATCATTATATGCTAGAATTTGCAGACCTTTTTATCTGAGTTGCCCCAGGTTGAAAGGGGGGTTTTAAAGGTTTGAATTCATTAGTGCATTACCTCTGTTCCTATCTGCTAGTTGTTTGGTGTTCACTTGTGCTACAACATTGGTAGCAGATTCTGTAAAAAAGTAATAGCACTATCAGTGATGGCAATTCACTGTCAAAAAGATGATTAAGGAACTCAAATAAAACACTAATTACAGCATAATTAATTGATCAAATACAAAATTCTCCGACAAACCAGGATTGCTATTTTCTTGCATATAACTTGTAATATAATTATTTTGTAACGAAATGTGAGAAATATGCAGTCAGTAATAATAAAATGGACAATCATATTTGTGGCATATTACATAGAGCATTTAATCATTAGAAAGTTAATTTGAGATGTATAATTAGAGAATTTTTCCTCTTCTTCTAAGTTGCCCCATGGTGAAAAGGGGATTTTAAAGTTTTGAATTTATTGGTGCAAATTACCTCTGCCTTGCAATTGCTGCATTTCAATTTTGTGATCTAATATTTGTTACAAATTCTGTACAAAAGTAATAGAAATATGTAGTCACTGATATTATAATTGACGACCATATTCATGTGGCATATTACATAGTTCATTATTATTGTAGACATAGAAAAAGAAACACTTCTTGATGAGAAAACAAAAGGTATATATATTTAATGTATTTTTTTCAAATGGCAACATTTCAAAACAGGTGTATATGTATATGTATATGTATATGTATATGTATATGTATATGTATATGTATATGTATATGTATATGTATATGTATATGTATATGTATATATCTATTTATATCTGAGTGAATTCACCAAAACAGACCCAAAAAAACAACAAACTCAAAGTAAATATCACAGAAAAAAAACTTTCAAAATTGAACATTTTTAACCCCACCCCACCCCCAGCCAAAATAATTAAATGCATGAGAAGTGATGCCGTGAAGTACAAGTCAGACTCTGCACTTTTTTTGGCCAGGCTCATTAAAAGGTGGGCAATGCCAGCTTTCAAGCAATGAAACCTTGCAATGTCAATTGAGCTCTCTTTTCCAAAGGCATGCTTTTGAAACCCAACCACCCTCCAGCCATGGAGTGTAAGCTCAGTGAGGAGGGCATTGGGTTCTGTTAGAAACTGCAAAACCAAACATCTCCATGCCCCCATCTTCAGGGGTTGAAGTGTGACAGGTTGCAAGGCTGATTACCAGTTTTGCAATGCAGGCTTTCAACCACAAGGAATAAGACAAGTGTTTTCTAGCCTCAGAGGAAAATGCCAGTCAACCAAAGGGTTCCAAAAATTTACCCTCTCCACCCCCTGAGGTTTCCATACAGAGTCATTTGCAAGTCACCTTTGGATTGTTTGGTGGCCAGGCTACATGTGGGCACTAGCTTAAACATTCAATCCCCTGCATTTTCTTTAACCAGGCTGGCTTGAAGGCAGGCAATGCCCACCTTCAACCAAAACCTAAAAATCAGGTTTTCGCAGCCTCTTCTGAGCCTGCTCCTTTGGATGTTCAACAAGCCTCCGACCACAGGGTGTTCACCCGTTAGCTGAGCTCTGGCTGAGGGAACTCAAATGTCAATCTTGTAACATAATGGGCATGTTTTTGCCAATGCAATCAGATATATTTACAAATATATGGAAAAGTTGTGTCTTCAGAACAGGAATACAACTTGTAATTTGTGATGTATATGTGTACTTACATGCAAGTTGATTGACAGTTGGGCTAGCTCCCTGGTATCCATTCAAACACATACACCCTGTAATGTGTTGAAATTCTGAAAAAAAAATATTATATACAACTAGGTTGTCTGTGAAATTATCAGCAAGCATATTTGCTGCATATCATGTAATTCATTATTGATAGGTTGATCAGTAGAGACAATGTTTACATACAATTCATACAAACAAAAAATGGTTTTGTAACTAATTAAAATGCACCAATTACATTATGGATTGTTGATTGCAGTGTTTAGAATTTTACTGTGTCTTGTGTCAGGTGGAGGACAATACAAAAAGGCTACTTAAAACAGGTTCGATTGTTGGTCACAATGTATTATTTGTTGGTTTCCAAGTAAAATTAGTTTGGGCATCTCATATCATATTAACTATTGGCCTAACTATCCTGTATTTCATTAATTCCTGTGGTTTGTATCCCTATAGTTCCAATTAGATATTCCGCAATCATCTATTTTATATATTCCCCATTCTATTGAATTTTTCTTCAAGTATCCTGTATCTCTATAATTTTTACCAAAACATTCTCTATCTGACAAAAACTTCATTGATTGACACATGTCAATCAAAAACCCAGCTCCCTCTATTAAAACAAAAAGAAAAATTCTCACTCTAATTACTGGGCATTAGAATAGATCGTTGTCAAATATGTTCGCAGCTTTTGGGTTTTTATGGAATTTTGCATTTCTTTCTCAGTAAAACAAAGTAGCATTTTTTACACTATTGATACAGTATCAGCAGGCTTCTAAGCGGCTACTATCAGCTTTTAGATGTAGGAGACAAAGCTGGAAGTAGGATATGAAAAGCTAATAATGAAAATACCATACTCATATCAGTCAATTTAATTGATGGCTTGTCACTCAAAAGAGACAGATAAATGACTGTGTTTTTAGACTTTTCGATTCATCCAATATTTGATAACTTTGAGGTCAACTATCTCTCCTTGAAAGAAAGCTGCAACACTAATTTTAATTACCCTCTATAATCCATCATTTCATCTCTGAAAACCATTCAAAAAATCTTTGG